AGAAGAATATTCGTGAGAAGTAGTGGGTAGTCATGTGTAGAGAGATGGACAACGCTACGGCTATTGGTGACAGTCGCCATCTTTTCCGTCTAAATAGATGTATCGAGTCAAGGAAAGTGGGCACGAAGTAATTAAGGACTCCGAGGGCACACTTATTAATATTCCGCAACGCCGTCTGGAGCGATGTGCGAAATATTTTAAGGCATCCTTCGACGGTAGAACTCCTAGTCACCGCTGAAACTGGAGGAATAAAATTGATATCAATTCTCAATTTGAAATGAAGGTTACCCAGGTAGTGGAACGTATAAGACCTCTGGTCCTGCTACCGAACATAGATATTAGATAGCTAATGAAATTACAAAATTTTAAACCTGTTTACAGCGCTTACATTCTGATTTTGATGACCATCACAATATCAGCTCACACAGCGAATAACAACACATGCCCTCGAGTGAACGAATCTACCTGAGAACCAAGTGATCTCAAGGCACGAGTCAGGATTGGAGTGAGTTGGCGATGTGACGGTAAGTTGCTTCACTAGCCTAGGAACGTCCGTTACACAATCATGTACAGAAAGCTTCCGATCAGTCGATTGATTGACTTTCGAGCGCCTATTTTTAAACCTTGTATAGACTTTACTCACGTGAACAGCACTTCGTCAATCAAGAACAATACATGTGCATTATACCAATCGGACATTTTCAAGTTCAAATATATCACTTGTGCCTGAAGCAGAAGCAAGGCATTGATAAAACAATTAAGTTGCGTGTACGAAAACCACTACGTTAACAGAGGCAAAACAGAAATACGTGATAGAAATAGGGGAGCGAAAAGTGATGGGCACCCAGAAGGAATAACATTAGATTCTTCTCGATTTAGGACGGCAGGGATACTTACTCGTGTGACTTTGGTCTTTTCACGGAATTCTTCGAAGTTGTCTGTCAACGACAGGATATGTTTGTATAGAAATGGCGGATCACAATGCAACTCCTTTGTTCCCACATTCAAACAAGGGTTTTGAAGATACTGTGGAGTCGGCACAACAAATGGGAACACTGGCTTGTCCACAAACGCACCAAAACCCATTTGCAACTTTTTGGTCACGTTGCGCATAGTCAGCACAATATCGTTTGTCATATTAGACACAGTTTCCAAGTCGTCACTCATCGTGTAGCTTAAATCAGTAAGAAAGTATAGATCCACCGGATAGTCAGAGATCGACTGGAAAGTGAAATTGACAACTAAGGGATCATTGGGTCGAATTTTCAGGGACTGGTGACGTGGTGTGAGCTGAACGTCTTCGGATTGTGGGCCGTAAACTGCATCACTATCTGTTAGAAAGACGAAACAATTCACAAAAAATAGAGAAAGCTTAGTACATACTAGACCATTTATCATAATAATAATAATAATAATAATAATAATAATAAATAAATAATCGTGGATTGACGAAGTGTAACAATTAAATAACTAATAAATATTTAAGGCATCCCGTCAAGTCAAAAATCGCTTTATTCATCCTAATGGATGGATTCTCAGCGTCTTGCACTCCAGGAACATTTATCGTCGCAAACAGTCACAAAACAAAGTTAGAGAAACAACAGTATCGTCAATTCAAAGGAATGTGGAGTAAACGTTTGAAAATGAATATCAATTGCGTAGGAAATTCAAAAAGTTTTCTCTAACGGATACCTTTTGAGCCAGAAATCTCGAAAGGTAGGGGATGACGGACAAACTATAAGCAGTGGTACGAGCATACACCAGTTTATATCAACATCTAGTTACAAAAGTGGATATGCATTGTTCAAGTTTTGTGTGCAATGGATGAGTGGTGTCTGATAGAATATTGTTACAGAAGTTATCGCAAGAGGTAAAATGTTTATCGGCGATAAAGGTAAGCAAGTGCAAATGAGGAATACCGCTTGTGCGAGAAATAATGTTAAGAATTATGTAATCTTTAGCTCGAACACCGGCAAATAAAACTGGGGAGCAGTAGAAAAGATGAGTAACAACACAAGAATATAC